GTGAGGAATCACTTCGGGCACTTAATATTATGTATTATAATAGCAATTATAATAGATAAATAAGAAAATTTTTATATCGGTATAAAACGGATTTTTTAACCAAATCAAAATGAATTTTTTGTAAATCAAAATGGGATTTTTCCGTGTCCCTGATTGCACCTGATCTTGCGATCTACATAGAAAAACTCCCTTTTTGGGTTTGTACCACTTGCAGAAATAAGTATACGCTATTTGGACACCTATTTAAAAAATGTAATTATCATCTGAATGTATTATTTCTCTAAACACTAAAGGAGTGTTTTCGTATGAAAATACTTTGTAGCATTACTTATTGTTTATAACTATGTAGACTTTTGGTTGAGAACGGACAACCATTCACTTCACAAGTATCTACAGTTTCGATTTAAAGGAGGTGACGTAGAAGATAAAAAGACTGAATACCATCGATATAAAAGCGATTTGATTGTTATAAAGAATCATTATTCTGAAACTACCAAAATCGGGAGGCAAGTAAGAAGATAGTTTCAAAGTTTAAGGCAAGTTATATATTTCTACTTATTGCTTATTCAACCAGCCTGAGTTGTATTGTGCCGTCATCAACTACCCTGTCATTTGCGGGATGGTAGTGGGAAAGAATTCGTTTCTGTTGGTGAGTATACAATTATATATAGTAGTACAGTGCAACGGGTTAATGCTCCATTACCAACTACCCTGCCATTTGCGGGATGGTAGTGGGAAAGAATTCGTTTCTGTTGGTGTAGCATGCGGTAAACTGCATGTTTGTGGGTGAGTTAACTTTTCAAGTGGAAGACTAACCACACGTTAGTCTGTTGTTTCAGGCTGGTTGTTTAAGTTGGTTGTTTAGAGTAGTTGTTATATGGTTGTTTCAGACTGGCCATATGTTTTTTTCCTATAAGCTTACACGTAATCTTTCTTTTCTTTATAATGATGTTGATAAAAAATCACGATTTATAAACGTTTTATGGGATTTACAAATGGAGAGACAAGCTATCCAAGATCAAGTTTTTTAAGACAAGTGGGTTGTTTTATAGATAGTCAAAATTCAATGGCTTGTTGTCTTGATCAGCTACTAACATATATAATGTAATAAAGAACGAGTTGAATAACGAAATTAGCCTTGAACGCGTTAGTAACGCTTATTTGGTACATTATTACACCAATCATAACTTAGTATACTAAGAGGCTTATTATAGACCAGACAGATTCCCGATGCCACAAAGGATATCAGAAATCAAGACCACAAATTGCGAGAAATAACTACAAAACAAATCGAAAATTTGGTGGAATATGTAACCGGACAAAAACGACCTTGCGATGGAGAATTATCACCAAACAAAGTCAGAACATACCAGAACATAACACATTATTTTCAAACGTCTTTAAATCTGATTTATAAAACGTTCTTTATTTTTAAAATATTTGCACAGTTCAAAACTGTCAGTACGGAAATTGAGTCAATTCATAATGAATCGTTATCTGATTCAAGACAAAAAAGGGAAAAGATTCCATCAAAAATTATTAATGAAATAAATGAACAAGTAATGATTAATGAGGAAACGTCAAACAGGTATTATTTTCTTAGTCATTTTCAGTCATACATAGCATGGTTTTGTTACTAATCAAAAATTATTCAATAAAAGACATTTCAGCAATCATAAATGAGGTAGTAGGAAACTTTTTTACAGTCTTTCTAGTAGGGTTGGATTAGTCCGTCCGTCTGCCCTAGTCTCTAATATGACTGGTCCTAACGCTAATAGTATCTCTATTGGTTCAGTCACTCTTAAGACCGATCCGACCCTACTTTCTAGTAACTGTTTTAACAGCTTTTCTAATGATAACTTAACTTATATGAAGAATGAAGATGTCTTTCATAACACAAAAAATATCCCGCTTACGAATGATTCCTCCGAAACTTTTTCACAAACTTTGTTCTCAACTGATAAGAAATCAAATTCGGAGACGACTCCACCACGTTTATTTGAAGCGACTTAAATTGTTGCGCGATCTTTGTAAGGATTGTCAATTATTATTCTTTCGTTTTTGCTAAATCATATCAGTTGTGTTCAAACCATAGTTGCTATATTACAAAAACGTATTGACTAGCTAACTTATGTCGGGGATACTAATCAAATATGCTCAGCATTTCAAAAAACTTTGCCCTGCATTTTACTATAGTCAAGTTCTCTATTGAACACCACTTGTGTGATTTAGTACATTATTTTATTTTATTATTTCCTTATAATTAATTTTTAATATTTTTTAAATTATAAACGGATGCATATGTATCCAGATTTAAAAAAAAGAAATGAGGATACTGTAGTTCATAATTACATACATGATATTTTTAAAGAAATATTTCGCGATCCTAACTATGATATCATTTGGTAAGAAACCATTCTAAATTAATCAAATTTTTTTTAATAGGCTATTTTGCCTCTAATTAAACTTGTTTTGAAATTCATTTATCTTTTAAACTATGTAGGGCAAACATTAAAAGCTTGTCATCAAGAAATCACCGTTCGAGTTATGGACGCACCCAAGGTAGAAGGCCTGACGCAACATTGTATCGAATTATGGATGATGGTGACCTCGAAGAAGAATGTTTCGTTGAAGTAAAAAATTTTTCCATCACAAGAAACAGCAAAATCGGAGGCTATAATTTATATAAGGTAGCCATCCTTTGCCAGGGAGGCATAAATAATATAATTTCTTTACGGGGAAACGATCCAGAAGTAAAATCCTTTAGTGGACACTTTTGTGGTAATTATATTCTTTTTTTTTACATTTTTTTTTCTAATGTTGACTTTTTTAACCCATTTCTCATGAATTTTACAGAGATATATATATTTTTTGGAATGATGGATTTGGATTATGACGGTATTTACCGTTATTTTCAGCTCTCTGAGATAAAGCTTGCACAAAAACTTTCGGAGTTTAACCTTGTACGAAAGTTGATTATAGAAACTTTTTTTTTTAAGGTAATTCTTTATCCTGATGTTATTGAAGTTTTTGATCCATGTTCTTACCTTTTGTTATTTGCTATTCAGTGTCGTATTGACAGCTTTTACGCAAATAACGGTGGAAATGGGCCCTCAAATAAAAATAATCTTGAGTCTTCGAGTGACATTGGGTCCTCTAGCAAAAATTATGGTAGATTCACTAATAGCAGAGAATCCACCCCCCCTCTCCAGAATAATTTTGCCGTCGCCCTATCATCACGCCTAAAGCGCATAGAATTGGGATTTCGAATGTTAATATAGTTAAAAAGCTATACCAGTGTGATTAACAGGATTTATGAATGTGACAATTTTTCACATTCAAAATAAAGCAACTAATTGTAAATAAATTATTTCAGTGAAGTTCAAAATTTAACTGTAATGCTTAATAGTTTTTAGTACAAGATTACGTTCCGAATGATTATGGCCCGACGACTACTTAGCTTAATACAGTAAGGCATGTCATCAGGAAACCTGGCATGCTATTATTCCTAGATGTCATATGTATTGGGCGGGTTCAGTTTAGTTCATTTTTACAGATGCTCATTTTAGCGATGTAATGGTTCGCTGACAATCCCATATCGGCCGATTTTAAAAATTGAACATCATAAATGGGCCCCAAAATTTCTACTAAGTGATATTCCAACCTTTGTGATGAATAATATTACACGATTTCAGCAATAACAATAAGGAGGATGCGATATTATTCATCACATTGTTTGGAATTTAACCGCTAACATAATGTCGATCATCCTCGGATAAAGCATCGATAATATGCCCATAATTCATCTGATTGGCTAATTTAAATTTTTTGTTTACCATTACTAAATAAGATAGAACATTAAATATCAAATCTTTCTAAAAATGAAAAAATCAAGATTGCTCTGGACCTCTATATAATATATTTATGGAAAAGGTGTATACCATGTCACGATGATGTTAATCTGTTTTGGCTGCATGTTTTCATTGTCTCAGATAGTAAATCACTTAGGAATAAAACTAATTCAGTAAGACAAACAATAGTTATTTTAATAAAGACTGTTACAAATTTCTAAATTATTTTCATCTCTTAGACAATTTTAGATCTGAGATATAATATTTCATCCTTTTATTAATGCCTCTTGCAAAATGTTACGATTTTGATTTAATTAGTTAGACGGAACGTTGAATTTTCATTTTTAAAAACTTACAAAGATTTCTATTATTATCATAATGAAATAAATAAACCATATAGTAATTTTGTGTACAAAGTTTGCAATTTGATATATATTTTTTATTTAATTTTTCCTAGAACAAAATTCATCGAATACTAAGTAATGGAAGTAAGGGAAGCATTGTTTATTGGCAGTCAATCACATCTATATTATATAAAAAATTATGTTTGATTGTTAGATCATCTTGTGACATTACAAAATCTGATGGGTAACAATATTTTTTAATACAATGATTCTGATAGCCATTGTCAAAGTTTATCTGGTTAAATTTAATAAAAATAAGTAATCTCTTTACTCTTAATATATAAAACGGACTTTAAGTGGCTTCGGAATTTTTATATAAAACTAGATATGGGTTTCATGCGAGCGCATGATTGTGGAATCATGTGTATTAATGCGCATTCATGCGCATTTTATCCCATCAAGATTTCTCTCCTCTCGATCGTTTTTTCTTTTTTTACCTTTTTTTTATCATGCGTATGAAAGATTTCGTGCGCATTAATGCGCATGTTATTATAATATGCGCATTTTCCCCATCACAATATAAAACCAACATTCTGGATTAATTTTATTATATATACATCCTAAGCCTAATTGACTAGGAAATTCCAAATCGCACTTAATTCCATTCCAATATAAATAATCTTTATTAACTGAATTACTAACTAGCACTAGTTTAATAACAAAATAACAAGAAAAATAATGAATAACATAAATTAATTAAAAAAAAAACATTAAATATCAATAAGCGTAATACATGTTAATAGTGTATAAAAAACAAAACTATCTACAGAACAAAATGTGTAATTGTAGTAAAATTATCCAAGGAATTTTTTTAGAGCATGAAAGGTGGTTTATTAAGCAAATTTTTGAATTAAGAGATTTTTGAAAATGAACGTTCGTTTTGGCAAGTGACCGTGACTTTAGTCACGGGAGCGATATTATCGCGAGAGATCAGCAGATCATGGTCACATGGTTAGCACGTACAGGGTCCAGTAAATATTTGTAAAGGCTTAGGGCGAAGGACGGTTTGTTGTGCTTTTTAACTGCTGTTGCCCGAAAGTGTAGCTTTCTGGCTCTATCGGGAGCTAGCAACTACAACGCTCACAGCCATAAAATATAAATAAATAAATAGAGATGGAAACATCAAACCTGAGAAACAAACTACGCAAGAGACTACCTGCTATAAGTGAGAACCTGGAATCGAAGAGGAGTGAGGTGAGATGGTCCCAAATGATGGCTGATACCTTAAGATCAGTTGCTGAAATGTTACAGTTAGATACAACAGGAAGCAAAACGGACCTTATCGAAAGGAAATCCACTCACTGCCCAAATAGAAGAAGTCAGCAAGAGGAAAGATCAACCACACAAACCCAGACACAAATAGATGAGATGAGACTTGATAACTCACTCACAAACATGTTTCAGGATGATAATCAAGATTTTAGTGATGCGATGGAAGAAGAAATCGGATCACAATCTAAAGGGAAAAAGAGAAAGGTAAATCATAAGGATCCAGACTCAGAAAAGACTTCTCTTTCCTCAAGTGATATGGAAATTGTAAGACATAAGAAGGCTCGTCAAACACAAATAAGAGATTCAGAGATTAGAAGCTTATTAATGGAAATAAGAGAGTTATGAAAGGATATGATATGCATAAATACAAAAGTTGAAGAAACTTGAACAAAAGTCAAGATTGAAGATGAATGGTCAGAAGAACGTTTCAGAAGATCAAGAGACCAACATGAATATAACCTGCTTCGATCTATAGAAAGAGACCTTGATCTAGATATAAATTTCACTTCAACAGATGAGGCAGTAAAGAAGAAATAAAAGATCGAATGTTAACACTAAAAGTAGCAAAGAAATATGGATGGGATGTGACAGAAAAACTATCCCAATTAGTAGAGGAAGAATTAACTGACTATGCAAAAATAATTGACAAAGCATGACAAGTAGCTGCAACTAAACAGAAACAAAGATCATATTATACATCAGAAAAAAGACAGTTTTTTCGTAACTCACCTTACTACTATAATGGTCAGAACTCAATAAAAAGAGACAACTATGAACCAACAAAAGAATTTAATTCAAACAGACACTATGATTCAAGGAACCATTACTACTCAAAAGGATACACACAAGGAAAAGAAGGAAAGAGTGATGAAAATAAACTCCAATGCTATAACTGTAGTGAATTCAGTCATCTTACATTTAGATGTCCCTTAGCAAGAAACTACAGACCCAGCACTAGCTCGTATATAGCATACTCAGGGAAAAATAATACTAGAAACAGTTGACAATACTCGGATCCCAAGAAAGATAGTAACAGGAAGGTTAAACCTCATATCATAAGTTACCTACTAGAAGACAAAGATAAAGGCTTCACCTCTAATAATAGATTGGCTAAGAAATGGTATCCTCTTATTTCTCTGAGGATTACTCCCTCTAGTAGCACAACCAACACCAAAACAATACAAAATGAACATAGAGCAAACCAATTGGATAAAGAAGGGACTAGAAGTGATGCTAGAAAATGGTGCAATAAAATGATTAGGAGTAGAGCCAGTAAAACTATTAATGTTTATAGAAGTAAGTTCAATTTTTCTAAGACCGAAGGCTGGACCAAAGAAGTGGGGAATGATTATTGATCTCAGAAGACTAAACAGTACTTTACTGAAACAGCTTTTCAGATTCGAAAGGTTGTAAACCTTTATAAGATCAGTTGACAGAAACTGATCAGTAATAATAATAGACTTAAAAGATGGTTATCACCATCTACTAATGGAGAAAAGTGCACAAAAACTGCTAGATTTTCATTTCAATAGAAACTGGTACCATTATTAAGTTCTACTTTTTGGTTTAAATCAGGCAATGTGGATGTTCTCAAAGGTAATGCAAGCATTGATAGGCCACTGGTGCTCTCTTGGAATATATTGCGAAAATCATGTAGATGACTTTTGGATAGCTCACCTGTCAAGAGAATTTTACTAGAGCAAAGAGAAAAAGTTATAGTAGTAGATATAGAAGAAGGTGATTTAGTAAGACATGATACAAAAGAATATTGGGAGCCAACACTAAAGCCAAAATTTTATGGTCTGTTTCTAGACATGGTAAAAAAAGAAGTAATTGTTCCAGAAGACAAATTGTGAAAAATAAAAAATTCACTAAAAACCTTATTAGCAGCCCAAAGATTGACAACATGCATGTTAGCTGCAATATCAGGGTCAATAATGAGCTTAAGTTGGGCTTTTGCCTTAGTAAAAGTAAGATGTTTGGAATTTTTTATGATTATAGATTCAACAAATCGAAGAATACAAGATTGGGACAATATAGTAGTTCTTTCATCATAAGCAAGACAAGATGCCAAGTGGGTTCTAGAAAACTTAGAGAAAGGAAATGAGTGACCAGTTTGGAAAACTTCAAGAATTCTACCATTGTTTGTAGATGCATCAACAACAGGCTGGTCAGTAATCCTGTTCAACAAACAAGCATTTGGAAATTGAGGAAAGAAATACATATATACAGAAATAGCAAAACTCAAATTTGAAGCAACTTGTTTAGGAATAAGTGCCTTCAGGAAAGAATTGAATCATTATTGGATGACAATCTTTATCAACAACAAAATTGCAAAAAAAACAATAGAGCAAGAGGGGAAAACCCCGTGGCAGAAAAACTACATTAGAAGTTTGTGGAATTTGTGTGACAAAAACAACATTTTGGTGTATAAATTTTGCTGGATGCCAAGCCAGCTAAATCCGGCAAACGAGCTTACCAGATTTTTTGACAATACTAACTGGGAAGTTCGCAAAGAAATTTTTACTTATCTTGACAAAATTTAGGGACCTCATACAGTCAACAGAATGGCCAGCAAATGGACTGTATAACTGAGAAGGTTTAACTTGCATTGGCACTTACCAAATACAGAAGCAGTAGACTGCTTTACAACCAACTGGGAAACAGAAACAAATTTTATTTGTGCTTCTTTAAATCAGCTAGAGCATGTCTTCCAATACACAATCAAATGCAAAGCAAGGTCAACAATTATAGTTCCTATTTGGACTTCAGCCCCATGGTGGCCAGTTCTGCTAGAATACAGCTACGATTATGTAGAACTGCCATCCCCCAAAGAAACTTTTATACCATCACTAAGCAGGTATCTGGAACTTATAAAGAACCCAAACTGGATGTTTCTAGCAGTTCATATTCATTTTTGACACTATTAAAACAGGCAAATAAGCTCCTAAAACCATGTTTAAACTATGACTATAAACTACTAAACATGTAGGAAAATTTTGAGAATTTTTTAGAAAATACTGTTTTGGCCTATCTTATTTGAAAAGATATAAACAAAACACCAAACCTACCAATGATATTAATAGTAATTGCATAGCAATACAAAAACTGTGAACTGAAAGACCCAACCAAGAGTTATAAAGTTAGGAAGTTAACACAAGCATTACTCAAAAAAGCCAGTCAAGACAAAGAGGCCTGTTGGCCAAGAAACCCTCTTCAATAAAAGTTTTAAGAAAATATGTAAGGAAACTACCAGAGAAAGCCATAGTATTTATAATTGCAAGAGACTGTGCACTAGTAGCTATAGGACTAAGAATGATGAGAAGAGCAGAAGAGTTAATGAATCTCTTACTAGCTAATCTCAGAGATAATAGAGAGCTGCTTTGGATTTGAATTAATTATTCCAAAACAGATCAATATGGACAAGAGAAATTTATATCTATCGAATCAACTAACTCATCTTACTGTCCAGTAAACTCTAAAGAGACTATGAAAACTTTGCCTAATGATTTCAAAATCAAGTCCAGCTTTTCTATCTATTACAGGGAAAAAACTCTTAGTAGGAGCAATTAGTGCAGTAGTTAAACAGTTTGCAAATCATGCTGGACTTCAAGGAAATACTCAAGCTACAGTTTAAGGATAGGAGATACTACAGCTGCCATAAAGGCTGGCCTGATATTCTTACAAATCATGTCGATAGGAGGATGGCTCTCAAAGACAGTCACTATATACTTGTACTCTATAGCAACAACACAAATAGGAATATCAAAGAAGATAAAGTTTTTTTTTAAAAAAAAAAAAAGAAAAAAAAAGAATAAATTAGGAAATGACAATTTGACTTCCTTAGGGGAATTTATATCTAAAGACCTTTAGAAGTAAGGGAGTCATGAAAAAAAAAAAAAAAAAGAATAAAGGAAGGGAAAAGAGAATGATAATAAACTGGGATAAGTCTAATAAACCAGCCAGACATGTGTCACCTACTCAGTAACATTCCTTTTTTGGTTCTCATATTTCAAATAAATAACTTGTTAAAATTGATCTCGAATGAAAATAATGACAAGTGACTGTGACTTTAGTCATAAGATTGATATTATCATAAGAGATCAGCAGATTATGATCACATGGTTAGCATGTACAGGGTCCAATAAATATTTGTAAAAACTTAGAGTGAAGGATGATTTGTTGTGCTTTTAACTGCTGTTGCCCAAAAGTGTAGTTTTCTGGCTTTATCGAGAACTCTCTCTCATTTACTACTAGCATGGATGACCACTACATTTCTCTAGATGACTGCTCTGTACTGAACACTAATTAATATGCCATAGTTACACTACACGGTTCCATACTACTGATCCATTGTGATATTGATGTGTGGTGGTTATGCTACACCATTTTTATGCTTTTGACATGCTTTGGTTACACCATACTGTTGATGTACTGTGGTTATGTCACACCATTCTCATGTTATTGATGTGTTAGAACACAGATGTAATATGGTTATGTCACACTATTCTTATACTTTTGACTGAGGGAAACAGAAGTATATATATGTGAATGTCATATAAATTCTGTAATATGAAACAACTTATTGTAGTTGCTAAGGCAGCATACACTATTTCTATATTTCCTATATTTCAAATAAATAACTTGTTAAAATTGATCTCAAGTTAAAATAATAGATCTTTCGAATGTGTTACATTACATCAAGGCATGATTTGTTATTGGTTAATTTTACGTGATCAAAAAACATTTATTGGGAAGTTCTATTTACTAATACCAGATAGCTTATTCAGTGACATTATTTTATACTGTACTTCATGTTAAATATGAATGAATTGTTAGGCATAAAAGTTATTTATTCAATATAAGGAAGAGGCTCTATGGCTAACAATTATAATGTAAAATTTGCATATCAAAAAAAAATTCATCATTTCTAATTCTTGATTTCTTTTCCAGGATAATAATTTTTAACTATTAGAAAAGTTTTTTTAAAGCTATTAAGATGCCCTAATTCGATAAGTCTGTCATTAATCAAAAATCGACTTTATGTAATGATCAGTTAGCTTTTGGTTGAAAAAGCATGTGGATTTGACGAACGCTTTTGATTCAGATCAGGTTATTCTGAAATAGCCTACATTACATTGAGACTACTTCTCTAATATCTCAAGAATTTCAGTATTCCTCACTATGTTGGGATATACTGTACTAGTAAGATGGGATTTATTAATATTATGAGTAAGTATTTTATTATGATGATGGTTCTCTACAATCACTCACAGAAGAACCTTTATTTGATGTACACAAGGTATGATGTTTATTAATCTCTTATGTCAAAATCCACCTTATTACTAGGACAAAATTACAGGTTATTTATAAACAACATTCTATTTATTGTTAGGGTGCTGATATCCATTATCACATTTATAATGATGATAGCACTTATATCGCATATATTGATTATACTGATTATAATCAATATATGCAACATACGCATTATAATCATTATAAGCACGGGTATCCCAACTTTGGTGAGATCTTTCTAGCCGAGGCAGAATCGTGACTGACTGACGATCGTGCGACGGTGATCTTACGAAGAAATCGGTGACTCGTTGATCACGTGTTCCGGGTCTAACACTATACTATATAAATATATATTATAAGCAGTATGTATATTAATAATTGATAGAGCGATCGTCTATTACATAAATTAGAAAAATGTAAATTTCTGATTTCAGCCACTTGTCAATTCGGTTATCGAGTTATACTAGAATTTATGAAAATATCTGTAACAAGTAGTAAAGTGATGACGCGAATTTGACAGACCCGTGATTTTTACCCAATCCGATTGTAAGATTAGTGTGTAACATACAAATTAATATAAAAAATAAGAAACAAGAAATCGAAAAAATAACTCATAAAATTAGTGTGTAACATACAAATTTAAGAAATAAGTAATGGAAAAATAACTCATAAATTTACTATGGAAACTAGATTTCTGTTATTTAAGTAAAAGTTTTACAGCCCAAAAATTTCGATATATCATACATATTTTATTAACTCAAATAATACATTAATTATGACCTTTGACAAAATCAAAACTTTATATTGGACTTTTCCGATCATATCTGAATCAGAAATTATTTTTTTAATAAATACACATTTTGATACAAAAAAAAAAATTTAAATTAACATATTTAATATTTGAAAAATAATAATTAATTTTTACAGGTATTATTTTTTAAATATAAATCTCCAAATTCTCTTTCCTAAAAACTTAAAAAATCTAAATAAAAGAAGAATACAAGATATTACAAGAACAATTAATAAAGATACTATAGCACTACTCATATCATTGACAACTTTTTTACCCATATCGGAACCTTGTTGATCTAATTTTTGAGTTTGAAGGTAAAGTATATAAGCTAAAACAAATAACTTTATAACAGATATAAGATCAGATAATAGTTCTATTTGATTAACTTGTGCCCTTTTTAATGTAGCACGTTCTTTACCCATCCAATAGTAATAATTTATTTGACATAATAAAGTTCCAATTGCATCGTTAATAGTGAGTTTCTTATCTGTGAATTTATAAACTTGATAGGTTTGAATAATTCTGGGTAAGACTTCACATCCCACAATAATAATGAATAATTTTCTAGGCAAGTCATGAGTAACGAATGTCTAAGATAAGAAAATAAATATAGAGTATTAGGATAACTATTTATGATAGAGAATAAAATAAATAATAAGAAAATGATACATACAGCATTATAATACAATTGAAGAACAGATAAAGTTGTCAATAAAGTAAAAAGTTTAAACACAGTTATCACGATACATTTATTTTTGGCAAAAAGAGTAGGATCCTCGTATGGAAAAAGTTTTCTTCTATTAGCCTTTTCTTTTTCTTTTCTTTCTTTATCACTCAGCGTTGGTGATGGTGATTCCATTGGCGGTTGATTAACATTACCATTTACAGGATGTACGGATTGTGGGACTTTAGGAAAATCGCCATTTTGTTGTGGATTGATCTTAGTATCATTATTTTGATGTGAATAGTTATATTGTGGATGAGTCTTGGGATAACCAGCATGTTGTTGTGAATAGTTTTGTTGTGAATGGGTCTTGGGATAACCACCATGTTGTGAATAGTTTCCAGGTTGTTGTGGATTGATCGTGACATAATCGTTGAATTGTTGTTGTGAGTGTTGTTGGTAGTGATAAGTTGCAGGTGGTGGTTGTTGATAATTTGCGGGTTGTTGTGAATTATTGGCGTAATGTTGATGATAGTAACCATCTGCGTAATAGTGATTAGCTTGCATTATGTGTTAAACTAATAATGAATGAGTGTAAAATATTAAGGAAGGAACCGAAGAAAGGTCACAGAAAGAAAGGACACTTTCTAATTCTTCCTGAAGAATCAGAAAAATCTGTGAAAAAGCGTCAAGTTTCAGCTACCTGAAAAATGAATGCTAAAAGAAAAATGAATGTTAATATAAAATTTAAAATTTTTGAAATGAAAAGACGTTTAACTACATTCATCGTCTATTTATTATGTGTAAATTATTGGTATTCCAAAAGAAAATAATCGAAAAAAGGATAATAATGTGGCACGATTCACTATGTAAATAAACATTTTCATTTTGGTTTTTCCATTTATGACTAAATAATATATCTACTACATATTTATGTTGCTCAAAACACTAGATTTGGTTGTGTAACAAATAATATCTTCACATTTTAAGAATTAAAGAACGTTAATGTTAATTATTCAAATAAATACATAATGAATGCACTTAAATGAAACTTTGAATATAATTTGAAATCTAGATATGTTAAGTTAATAATATATGGATTAACTTTTGAGTGCATCATATTAATCGATTAATTTAACTCATAGTTAATATCGACTTAATAAATACAACGAAATAATTTATTAATAAATTGTAAAATTATATATTCAATTCATACTATGTGATAATATTATGAAACATGAATTTCTTGTAAAATACTTTTAAAGAAATAATGAAATAATTTGCTTGCTAATGATAATTACAATAAATCAATTACAATAAATCAATTACAATAAATCAATTACAAATTGTTTATTTAGCATATATAAACTATATATGTGTATAATATAGGTATGCATGTCGATCTGATCTAAACGGTATCAGAATGTTACTTCTTCAGTCCGTACGGTTTTACTAATTTGCAACTCTTTCCTCATTTCCCATTGGCCGTGATTAATCTGATCACCTCTTTAACCAATAGAAACTGCAGAAAAGCGCGGGAATCGGAGTTTAAATGCCTTCTGTACTACATACAAGACAAAGGCAATCAACAATGTGACGGAATTTCATCAAATTTGTGTACGTATAACCTTCTCACTACGAAAATTCCATTTACTCCTTGAATTTTTTTTTAAAAAAAATTCTGATACATGTGATACGTTTTGCATAATTGAAACATTGTGGAACAAAAAAATAAGGTTTAGATGTGATAGTGCGCAGAAAGTAATATCGGCTAAAAGCTCTTTTGAGTTGATAATTAAATTACAATAATAATTCTCTAACATATAAACCTGTAAGGCGATGAGCAACAAATAAAATGTATATAATCAAAAATTAATTTAGAGTAAAATTATCTAAGTGAGAAAACGACTCTAAACTTATTATCATTAATATTGTCGTCTCGGAAATCGGCGAGTCTGTCGCTAAACTATTCCAACTCTCGCGTTACCTCGGTGGCTAAGTCGAAACAGGCGGGTTAGATTTGGCGAGTGGATTATCATCCGTAGGTAAGTACTAGTATCTTCTCTTGAGTCTTTCCTTCAATCTACTCTTGTTCTAATTCTTTTCTTCTCTATTGTCTCAACCGGGATTTCACTATGTCGAATCGGGGTTGGAGCTCTTCTCTTTCGTTTCGGTTTACCAGGCACGTGACTATGGCGAGCGATCAATTACGGGTTTGGTTGTTCTTGGGGGGTGGTAGCGTTGGTACTGGGATTTAACGATAGTACTGGTGTTTACAGGATAACACTTTCACAGTTATTAGCGGTCGGGTAGGTAGTTTATGTTTCGCAACTTGGAATCGCTCCCTTTTAGCCTGGGAGAATTGTCCTTTATTTATAATAAACTGTCTTGTCTATTTACATTATGGACTTGTCTAGTATATCGAATATATCTAATTTATCACACTTATGCGATATAAGCGATATATCAGATATATCTGATATATCAAATATATCTGATATATCTGACATTTCTGACATTCGGGATTTACGACGTGATATCGATCACGTTTTCGGATCTCACAATATATAAAAAAATATTCCGAAAAACTTTATGTCGCCATTTAATGTGATGCCGACTAATACTCATATTTTATTATGGATTTAACGACTTTATTTGTTTAGGATAGATTATGATTCAGAATTGGAGGTTCTATTAAAAGAGTATATGTAGCTTTATTGAAATGGAGACCTCCAATTTCGTACGTACCAGAATAAACTGTTACACTTAAATGAAGCCTCACACTAATGTATTCATATTACTTTGTAATGGCTCACATTTTTTTCATTTCTATTTCGCGATATAATTCTACTATTATGGCTAATAATTTTTAAGACAGGAAAACGATCTACTTTCGCCTTTTGTGAATTAATAATTATATTTACACAAATATTTGCTAATTTGCCTTAAATGTCGATGAGGTCTCAAGAATTCTAGTTCTGTGCAATTGAAACTTAAGTGCATTAAATTATTTATAAGATATTCTTATTTTTTTGAGTTTCAGCGTTATAACAATTATTAAAGGAAACAGCGACGGCAAAGGCGGAATAATTTCCAGTAATATCTTTATACATGTACCTAAATTGGAAAACGTAATTACAGCATTTAGACTTTTTTAATCAAAATATATCATATAGTATAGTTATTTCGGATGTTTAATATAAAAAAATTTAAAAATGCCAAAATGTTTGCCTAAAATACTTTTTTCAAAAATAATTTAGGCACATATGTATAATTATCTTTCGTTGTTATTGATCCATTATGATTTACTATTAGTAATAATTGTCTGAAGAGGAGTGAGGTCTCTTATTTCTATGTAAAGTGAATCCTTGTCTATACAATATGGGACGGTTAGAACAAATAAAATTCCTGTATTGATAGCTCACGTGTTATTCTACAATTGGTGTAATGTGGCGTTATATGTTCTATATATTACGTGTAAATGAAGGTCATTAACGCGAAAATTAACTAACAAAATATAACAGTAAATCATAAAATGCTAAATCATTACTATGCATGATGTACATAGATTAGATGACTTATAGGCGACATCGAATGTATAATAAAAATATTAATGAACATAAACATTCATGGATAACTTAATTTTCTTTTTATTTCATTTTATATAAACTTTTGCATTAAATATGTATAAACTTTAACAATTTTATACTTTGGACCTTTATTAGATTCTGATTTTCCGTAAAAAGTTTGACTCCAGTTTTTAGTAGAACATAAAAGCTTCCATTAAAGTTCTCCACTCCAATATCAAAGATTGCCTTCATTCGGGGTCGCTTTTAATTGGTATTTTCAGTATTTTCACCATTCTTAAGATTCTATTTTAAATTATTTATGTCTTCATTAGTGAATAGCTGCTTTTTTATATGGTATTGTTTTTTTGTATGATACTCATAACCAAATCGTATCATTTATAGAAATTTGTCATTACAGATAAGACTATTTTGGAACCTTCGACTGCACGATCAATAGAAACTATTGATATTTATTAGGAATGGCTATTTTCGGCTTAGCTGACCTGCTATCTCGTGATATCTCATACTCCAGTGATCCAAATTAATACCATTCTCGTCTCATTAAGTCAAATCAAATGGTACCAAAATCACTCAATTAAGGTCATTGAATCAAGAGATAGCCGGTCAGCTAAGCCGACAATAGCCAGCCATTACCCATCCCTAGTATTTATACTTAATATGATTGATTCTTTTACTAAAGAAATAAATAGTTTAAGACATTATAATTGCAAATCATAAAATTCAAATGCAAATTCAAACATATTAATTAAATTTGAACTAATAACTTAATAATAAAGTTCCGACATTTATCTTCACTCTTTCTAACGCCAATTCCGTAAAAGTAACAAATAGCAGTTTTAAAAATCCCCATATTCATAACAATAACCAAGTCAGTACATTCTATCCGGATCATTCATGCCAATTAATGTCTGACAGTCAATGAAATTCTGTTGTTTAAAAGCTTTGGTTTCATACATAATTCCATCCAATAAATTATTATCTTTTGTATTTGACATTTTAGGAACTAAAGATGGCAAATAATTTCAAAGTATCTTTAAGTACGGTTTATGTTGCACGTTCACACACACAAACATATACTGTGAAATGAGATGTGCTTCGTGTTAGCATCACTTGAATGTGGCGCAGCAAAATCTTTATTGTTTATATATGTTAGAGTTAGTGTAAAGTTATGGGTTAAAAGAAGGTAATTATATAGTGTGAGCCCCGAAATCGGTCATACATCACACGTGACCGATCACGAAATTAGGTTCCGCCCCCTACCCGAGTAATTGGTCACATGAAAAGTAAGATTTAACTTACTTTTCTTACTTTTATTACTTTTATTACTTTCGTTACTTCGGGTAGATCGACGGCATATAGTACATTCGGTTTGTCTTTAGGATGGAAGGGAAAGGGGTTTTAGGGATGAAATATTGTAAATAGATAATGTAGAGGAAATAATCCTCAAGTGTAAATAAAAGTTTTATTATAAATAAAGGGCTTTCTGCCCAGGGGGGAAATAACAAGCATGGGCGATACCCCCAAAAGAATACATTTCGCATAATAAACTTAAGTATCGGACCCATATTACAAGTGAAACTATAACCCAACCCAAACTGAAAACTATCGTTAAAGACCCTCGTTATCCATACCGTCCGTTCGTTTGTAACTCACCTAACCGCATTTTGTTCGTTCGCCGTAAGTCACGTGACCAAGCCGTTAACGCAAGAAAAGGACTCCAACCCGATTCGACGTATCGTAACCCCAAGTTAAGGAAGTAGAAGGAAGAGAAGAAAAGGCAAAGGGTTAATAGAAGAATAGGTTGAAGGAAAGACTTAGAAGAGAAGAGTACTACTTACCTACGGATAAACCACCCAGCCAAATCTAACACGCCTACTTCGACTTAGCCGCCGTAGGTTACGCGAGAGTTGGATTAGAGTAGCAACCGTATCGCCGAATCCCGAATTACAATAGTTAAGTAAGCTTATAAATTTTTTT